GTGACGAACTTCTGGACTCAGTATCTGGGAACAGAGGTTAGATATGGAAGCTGAAGGTTTAAGGATGGCAGACAATTTTAGTTAATTGATACTATCTCAAAAGTGTTATCTCTGATTTTGTATAGCTGGAGTTTATATATTAACTTCATTGTTCTAGATGAAATTTATTGAGTGTATCGAATATCTATCAAATTTCAGTGCAAGAATAACTAACTATTTCCTCCCTTATATTCATTGAAAAGATATTCTCTCTCTTTATTTCAGTTTTATTTCCATTTGAATGCATCTAGTAAATGTGTAACAGCAAACATGGCCATCTGACTATTTGAAACAACGTGGCAGACAAATTTTCAGGAATACCAGGCACCCGAGAAGATTGTCATCCGGCGTTACAGTGACTTTGTTTGGTTACGTGATCGCCTTTTTGAGAAGTACAAAGGCATTTTCATTCCTCCTCTTCCTGAGAAAAGTGCTGTAGGTAACATCTAAATAGTACTCTTGCAGGCTTTATAATACTTTGGATGTGGTTGTCTATTGAAATTTAATGTCAATGCTACCTTGACACTTGTTCCATGCTTTATCTTCCTGCCTGTGTTAAGACGTTGTGTTGCTTTTCATTTCATTGCAGTAAAAACATTTTGGTTGATGGATTTTTTTTTCCACCTTGCTCTTTTACACGATCAAAATAGTGTAAAACAGGTTGTTGTGTGTGTGTGGAACAACTTTGGTTAGAAAACTTCCTCATTGTGAGACATGAAAACAATCCCCCGTTTCTCACTTCTCTGAAACCATGCGAGTTACTTATTTGAAATTCATCTGTTTAGAACATCAAATATTGGATTTTAAGCAAGTTTTCAACGTCCTAGTTAGTATTCTTATGGTTTTAATCAGAGAAAGGAGAAGAATCAATCATGAGATTCATGTCCATGAACATGATAAGTTCAACTAAGAACAAAGTAGCTCTTGTTCAATAGGGGACAATGGTGGAAGAAACACAGAACGTTGTATTTTTCCTTTGCCTTTCAGATTTCTGATGGTGCTTTATAATTTGAATACTAATCTAAACTGCTTGTCTGATTTATTTTATGGAAGTCTTTTCATTTCAGAGTTTAACAGGCTATTTATTATATTTATTGTGTCCTAGATTGCCTTTGATCATGCTTATAAAAAATTAATTGTAGATTTGATATACTGCTGTCGAACATTGATTAATTATGTAATGATATCAATGATTCTCCTCAGAAAATTGTTGATTTCTGATTGTAGTTTATTTGAGACTTCAAATATCATGTCATCTAACACTCTATTTGGGTTTCAATTTTGGTTTGTATTACAGAGAAATTTCGTTTCAGTGCTGAGTTTATTGAAATGAGGCGACAGGCATTGGATGTATTTGTAAATAGAATAGCGTCACATCATGAACTTCAACAAAGTGAGGATCTGAGGACGTTTTTGCAGGCAGAGGAAGAGGTGATACATTGAATTCAGTGAACTATTTTGTTCTCTGTGCATCTCTCTATTTTATATGTGATTTGTTAGCTATGCCACTCTTTCTTTTGTTTTTCAACTTTTTATCATGGTGCCATGTCACTGCACTGTTTTTGAGTCCAAATCTTTGATTCAATCTAACCATATTGACTACATTGATTGCTTAGTTTGGCATTGAGTCTCCTGAATTGACAATCAATGACTTGATTTCACATTAGTGTTTGTTATATGAAAGAAATAAATTATGCAATATGGTTACTACCTCCTAATCAGTGTATGCTTTGGAGAGAGTGGGACGTTGAACGTGTCAAGACTTACTCCCATCCTCGGCCACGAGGGATTTTGTAATATATATTGAATCTGCAACTGCTCTAGTTCTGATATTTTCTCACATTTGATTTGACTTTTAAGAGGTAAAATAAAACCTTACTTGAGATTGATTTCATCAAACATACTATGCAGACAATGGAAAGGTTAAGGTCCCACGAGGCTGGCATATTCAAGAAGCCATCTGATTTAATGCAGATTTTTAAGGTAAGAGGAGTTCTACTGGTATTTTCGAATATGAATATTTTCCTTTTAGTTGATTGAAATCTATTAAATGGAGTGACCTAAATTTTGAATTTCATTTTATTCAGATTGAAATCTGTTAAGTGGAGTGATCTAAATTTTGAATTTCACTAATTTCCTAAATGAAATAACCTTACAAGGGGCGCGTCTTTCTTTCCCCGTTAGTACGTATGAAACGAGTTATGATTTGCTTTGGTTTTTGCAAATAAAATGTCGTTGATGACATGTAGACCCATAGAATAGAGTGTGATCGAGGGAGTTTAACAGGTTTTATCTTATCCTCAGTAGACCAATGAAATATACTCTGTACTTGATATTTGCATTTTGCTGCATTCTTATGCAATTCAACTACTTTCTTGAATATATCTAATTTAATGGTCTCCTGGATTGAAAATTTCCTCTATATAGACATTTGCTGTTGCTAGTCTACTTATTTGAGCATGCTGTTCAGGTTTCTTTTAAGACTTAAATTGATTGTGAATTTTTGCAGGATGTGCAATCAAAAGTGAGTGATGTTGTCCTTGGGAAGGAGAAGCCAGTGGAAGAATCTGATGCTGAATATGAGAAGCTAAAACATTACATTTTTGAACTAGAAAATCACTTAGGTGAAGCTCAAAAGCATGCATATCGTCTTGTGAAGAGGCACAGAGGTAACGGTTTCATTTAAGATTTCAGTTTGATACTTTTTCTTGCCTTCTACCTATTGTCCTTTTCTGATTTACTCTTATGTACTTTCTTTTTATATTTTATCCCTTATTCTGCGAAGATTATTTACTGTGATAAAATGTACTTTTTGCACTTGCAGAGTTGGGACAATCATTGTCGGATTTTGGAAAAGCTGTGAAACTTCTAGGTGCTTCTGAAGGAAGTGCACTTGGGAAAGCATTCTCTGAACTCGGGATAAAGTCAGAGGTTTTATCAATCAAGCTGCAAAAGGAGGTCAGCTCTATGTGTTTTTGTCATATACATAAATTTGCTGACTTCTCATAAACACTTGTTTAGTTGTTAGCATAAATTTACATGCTTTTGAAGGGTGAAAAGAACTATCCTAACTTGAATCTGTCAAGCAGGCACATCAGCTCTTGATGAGTTTTGAAGAACCTTTGAAAGATTATGTCCGTGCTGTACAATCTATTAAGGTAGTTCTGGCTACACTTTCTTTCACCATTTCATAACAAAATTGTCTATAACCCGATTAAGACTTTTTTCATGATTTTGAAATATATTTCACATGCCTGCTCCTTCAACCCTTCCTCCAAGAATGAGCTAAAACGGATTGTTGTAACTTATTTCACATTCTGAAACAGGCAACAATAGCAGAAAGGGCCAATGCCTTCAGGAGGCAATGTGAATTGGCTGAAACAATGAAGTTGAAGGAGATTAATCTGTATGCTCCTGTTTATCACTTTTACTATTTGATTAATTTTGTTTGCATTACATGACATAATTACCCCTCTTTTTACATGATATTTTATGGTTGAATTAACATTCACGATATGTTCCTTTTGAATACAGTCCATTTCCCCCAACCAAAACTTGATTGTATAAATTATAAATGCAAATAAGTCTTGTTCCTGTCTTGTATTATGGAATTTGTATAATTGTTTTTAATCATGCTGATGGACCAGAAAACTGCCTATTGTCTTATACCCTGATATATATCCCTTATTATTGTTTGGAATGCAGTGACAAACTCATGTTGATTCGCTCTGATAAAGTGGGAGAAGCTGAGCGTGAATTTCATGAGGCAAGTTTGTTTATCATTTGACATCTGGTGATGATATATTTTTTTTATATCTTGTGTGTTTGACTGGACTGACATGATTATGCCATGCAGTTGAAGGCAGAGAGTGAACAAGCAACGAAGACATTTGAGACAATTGTGAAACTAATGAATGAAGAAATAGGGCGTTTTCAGGAACAGAAAACATTAGATATGGGGATAGCTTTCCACGAATTTGCCAAAGGTCAGGCACGCCTAGCAAATGGTATTGCAGATGCGTGGCGGAGTTTGCTTCCTAAACTAGAGGCATGTTCCTCTTCGTAGTGAAACTCTTTGTAATAGGAGCTTACCAGAGTTCCATGCTGCTTCAAATTATGTTGTACAAGATGTGATTTTCTCACCACTTTGATTTTGTACAAAGTCTTAAAACAATTGAAATGCCATACTTAAATTACCTTTGATTTTCCATTCTCCTCTATCTTTCGTGTTTCATGTGGTTGTATATCATGTTTGTTTTCATGGTGGATTGGATGTGCGATCAATTGAAGTACGCAGTTACCTAGAGTTTAACAGGTTTTAGCTGAATTCAACTCTCGGTGCTAACGTGGAAAGACTGATTCACAAACACATAATATGAATATTGAGGTGTTCAAGCAAGTGTGAACTGTCCCTTAGAATGTAAATGAATAACCCAATATGTTCGGCTTTCTAATTGGGGGTCATAATACAGTACTTTCTTTACATGAGTATTATTTAATCTTAAATTTTAAGCTTAGTCCGGTGTGGAACGAAAGACGGGGAGGTGAAGGGAAGAAGTTTTTTGGGTGTGGTGGCGTGAGTCTCTATTGATAAATTAATTGAGATTCCACCTATGTCTAACTACAATAATTTTGTGCCTTTGTTTTGAAGAGCTAATTACGGAATTAATTAAGTGCAAAAAAATTATCTGCACCGCCATTACAATATTCTTTCTATAAATTATGTCAAATAAATACTTTTAGAGATATTTAAAAAAAGGCCAAAAATATGATTTTTCGTCTTAAAAAGAAAAGGTTAAGATTTTGGGCGAGAGACAACGTGGGACTCTTTAGAGCCATTTGTTCTAGGAAAACCTGAAAACAAATGAAATCAGCTAAAGCATTATCTATCCAGTACCAATATTCAACCAACAAAATAATAACAAATCAATAATAGTTAGCTGAGAGGGAGAAGGAAAAGCATGGCAATGATAACAAGTAGTAGATGCTTGAGTGTGAATCTGAAAGAAACAAGATTCAATTCCCATGTTCCTCTCCCTTCTCACCACTCCCTCATCCCTATTTTCCACAACATTCATCCTTCACCCGTGCTTCACACCAGCTTCCATCTGACGGCGGTGGTGCCCAAAGCTTCAGCCGGAAGCTACAGCTCCACCGATGACGACGATGGAGTTTCTCTCGGCACCATGAAATTGCCGGTTAACATCGACCTTCAGAGATTCGATTCCCTCTTATTTCAGGTATAAATTGTTAAATGTAATTCATTTCAAGTTCATTTGCATTTCATTTGGATTTGGATTTATATTTGTGTTGTGGCAGTGGGCAAACAGCCTTTCACAGGGAGCCAATCTACCACTTGCCATGCCTCTCAAGGTAAGCCTTAGAGTTAGTTATTAAATTTGTTATAACTAATTTTTAGTTAGTTAACTCAGTTACAAGTTAGTTAAGATTTGTTACTCAGTCATGATTACTATATATAATGTATCATCATATATTCATTGAAATAATCGTCTTATCATTTGAATCAATACTAAACAGTCTACTCATATAATAGGTTGTTATTCTTTCTTAGAAAAGATTTCATTTGTTGCTATCGTCACTTTTCATGTAACAATCTAATTCATTTAAATTTGATAAAGTAGGTGGACAAAATAGCCGGTGGAGCAAGATTGGGATTTATAACCATTGGAGATGGGGACACAGAAGTTCTTGTGTATATTGACTGTTTGGTTTTTAAACCCAATGAAAGTTCTGCTCCAATTTTCCGTGCCTCCAGACATGGAGTCTTAAAAGATAAGGTGCCACCTGGTGAGCCCAGAATCATGAGGAGCCTTATGCAAGCTCTTCAGAAGTCGGTTCAAATCGCAACACTGTGAAGTTTGTTTTTTATTTTTCTTCCCCCATACTTGTAGAATTTTGAGCTGAAAAGTGTAAACTATTCGAAATGAAATATAAATATGATGCAAATATATTTACTCCAAGAGAGTCATGAATAATTGTACATATTTCTTTACTACTGTGTACTAGAAATTATCAAAATAATTATGTGCAAATCCTACTTCAATTGGCAAAATGAATTCTGAACTATGTAACTTTTTAGCGGATATTACCACTTCGGCTACAAATAAAAAGATGTTGTAGATGTGGCATTGTTCGAAATTGGAAGTATAAGACAAATTTTTACATATTTTGGTATGTCACTGGTTCCCCTTCATGGTAAATTGCATATCAGTTATTATTGGTGTTGGAGAAGATGAAGTTTTCTCCATTTTAAATTACTTGAGCAGGACACGTATGTATTGTGATTGCTTAAGATACATTCCACTTGCATCCTTTTGAACCTCGATGCTTAAAAAATAATGTAGATGTCCAAGATACTTTAGTGAGAAGACAGTGTTGAGTTGATTTATGAAGACATCCAAGACATTAGTATTGTCGCATGCTATAATTATATCACCTACATAAACAAAGAGGAAAATGATTTGATCCATACCTTAAAGAATAAATGGGGATTGTTGGAACAAGCACAAAAGCTTGTATGTGAATTAATGGAGGTGATGGATAATTTTGGTGAAATTGGAGGATTGGGGAAGAAGATAAAGTTTAGAGAGAATAAAGATTAATTGAGAGGGTAAAAAACTCATATGACATTAACTCATTCAACATGTTACAAAATGTATATATAGTGCCTACTAACACTAAACAAAGTAACAAATAAAAGCTAAACAAAACAGCCTAAAAACAAAAGTATTTTTCTGGTTTTTCCTGCAGCATTCTGGCAGCTTTTCAAATAGCTTTCAATCATAGTTACATTGCATTTGACTTATATAACATCCAACACACCACCTTAAGCCAAATGCTCGATGTTTTTCATCCCCAACTTTACCACGAGTCGCTTGAAAACATCGTTTGTAACCGATTTCGTCAACAAGTCCGCGACTTATTCTTCACTTCTGCAGTAGCTTAAATGTAACTGTCCAGAACTCACCAAATCGCGCAAGTAATGGAACCCCATCTCAATGTGCTTGCTTCTCTCATGTACTATGGGATTCTTAGCAAGGTTGATGGCTGAAACGTTGTCCACCAACAACAAAACTCCCTCTCTCGCGCAGCTGTCTAGCTCACGCAACAGATTCACAAGCCACACAGCTTGGCATGCACACATCGAAGTTGCAATATACTCTGCCTCGCAAGAAGAGAGAGCAACCACCGGCTCCTTTCGAGAACACCAAGAGATTGGTGCACCGCCGAACATAAAGACATAACCTGCCGTTGATTTTCGATCGTCTTTATCTCCGCACCAATTGGAGTCGGTGTATCCAAGTAAATTGCAACTTCTGCTAGTGTCACTTGCCAGAAACAAAATTCCACAGCCAAGAGTACCTTTCACATAACGAAGGATCCTCTTAACCGCTGTCAAGTGTGATACCTTTGCCTTTTCCATGAACCTACTAACAATACCGACACTAAACGGCAAATTAGGCCGCGTATTGCACAAGTAACGCAATGATCCAACCAATCTCCGATATTGAGTTGGATCCACATCTTGCTCTTCCTCACTCTTGGATAGTTGTAACCATGCCTCGGATGAAGTTATGGCAGCATTGCAATGCTCCATATCACACCTCTTCAAGATCTCAATTGCATACCTTCTTTGATGCATGAGCAGCCCCAACTTTGTCTTTTGGAACTCTATGCCTAAGAAGTATGTCATAGCACCAAGGTCACTCATTTCAAATTCTCTTATAAGCTCTTGCTTGAACTTTGAAATGTATGATTCATAACTACCGGTAATTAACAAATCGTCCACATATAGACAAAGAATGATCACCCCTTCGCTAGCACCCGTTTTCACATACACCCCATGCTCGGACACGCATTTCTTGAAATCAATATCGTTAAGAAAATCATCTATGCGTTTGTTCCAAGCTCTTGGAGCTTATTTCAAACCATAGAGTGTCTTCCTCAACTTGTAGACTCTTGCCTCTTGGTCTTGAACAACAAAACCTGGTGGTTGTCCCACATACACCTCTTCATTTAATGGACTGTTCAAAAATGTCGATTTGACGTCCATTTGATATAAAGGCCAGCTGTTGATATTTGCAATCACAACAACTAACCAGATGGTTTCATGCCTTGCAACTGGTGCGAATACCTCATCAAAATCAATGCCTTCCTTTTGCAAAAATCCCTTTGCCACTAATAGAGCCTTATGCTTGATTATCTCACCTTTCGGATTTTCTTTCACCTTGAAGACCCATTTCACACCAATTGCCTTTTTACCTTTCGGTAAATTGACGAACATCCAAATATTGTTTTTCTCAATTGATTCCAGCTCATCCTTCATTGCACTCATCCATTTTGGATCGCTTAATGCCTCCTTCGTATTCACCGGTTCGAATTCAACCATTAAAGCGAAATGGATGAGATCACCATCATGATTGATCTTGCTATCACGGAATACCTCACAATCTCGGAGTCTTTAAGGCATACCTCTCTACCTCGTTGGTCGTCTATTCGTTTCACCATCCTCCGTTGTGAATGGTTGCTATCCAGGATCATTAATAGGCTGAAAATTCAAATTTCCTCCCAGGAAATCGATTTCTGGGCCTGAATTTTGATTTCCAGCAGCACCAGGGGGCTCTATCACAGGCTGGAAATCGATTATCTCATTTGGTAAATCGATTTCCTGTACAGAAACAGCAGAAATTTTGCTGTCAAACATCCGGATTTCGTCCGCAATCATGTCCCGACTTACCACAATCCTCTTGCTACTTATATCAAACAATTTGTAGCCTCCGGTAGGATGATATCCAACAAGTAACAACTTCTCACCCTTATCATCAAGCTTCTTTCTAAGCTGTCTCGGAATGTGTTAAAACGCAACCGAACCGAAAACGCGCAAGTGGCTCAAACTCGGTTTAAATCCGGACCATACCTCTTTTGGAGTTATCTTTTCCAGCTTCTTTGTCGGACACCTATTCAACAAATAGGTAGTTGTAGATACCGCTTCACCCCAAAGCTCTTTTGGTAAATTTTTGCCTTTTAACATGGTTCGTACCATGTTCATGATTGTCCAATTTTTTCTCTCCGCAATGCCATTTTGTTGTGGAGTGTAGGGAGGCACCACCTCACGGATTATCCCCTCATCATTGCAATAGCTCATAAACTCATCGGATGTGAATTCACCACCACCGTCCGTTTTGAGAGTTTTGAGATTTTTACCGCATTGGCGCTCAACCATTGACTTAAACCATTTGAACACTTCAAACACCTCATCCTTCCTCTTAATGAGGTAAATCTACAACTTCCTACTAAAATCATCAATAAACGTGACAAAGTATCGATTGCCTCCGTAGGAATTGACGTGCATCGGTCCGCATACATCAGAATACACCACCTCAAGGTGATGCTTGGTCCTATGACCCGCATCCTTGCTGAAATTACTCTTGTGTTGCTTCCCGTGAACACACTCTTCACATATTTCAGCTGGAATATTAATCCTTGGCAGCCCGGACACCATACCATGTCTTTGTAACGCGTTGAGATCACGAAAGTTGAGATGACCGAGACGGTAGTGCCATAACCATTCCTCACGACTTGCAGCAGTAGCTAAGCACCTATGCTCCATAACTTTCAACTCAATCTTGAAAGTTCTATTGGCAGCCATAAGAGCCTTAAGAATCAAAACTCCATTTTGGTCTAAAACGCGCAATACTTTGTTTTCCATGCGAATTGTGTAATTCCTTTCAAGTAATTGGCCAATGCATAAAAGTTTACACTTAATTCCAGGAATGTACAAAACTTTCTTGATCAAGGAATGACCACCATCCCTCCTCATGATCAAGACATCACCGACACCGTCGGCTGCCAAAGACGTATTATCCACGAATCTCACTCTACTTCGCGTGGCTTGATTGATCTTCACTAACCAATCTTTTCTACTCGTCATATGCATCGAACAACTAGAATCCAAGTACCACTCATCACTACCTTGGACTCCATCTCGAACTGTTACTAATGTGTTTTTCTTCGAACGCATTTTCTGCAGTTTTTCTGCACTGCAGTAGTTGTTGTCCAACAACTTTCTACTGTTGTCCATGCCATTATTCTCCTCCGTAATCACCACAAGAAGTGTGCTATCATCATCCACTTCTTGCCTAGCAACCTTCGCTTCATCCGCATCACTCTCCTTGCGCTTGAAACGATAATCTCTTAAGAAATTTCTAAGCTTTTGACAATTGTAACATCTCTTGGTACTTTTGTCGAGCGGCTTGTAGTTGTCTTGACTACCATCCTTGGAGGTTCCTTCTCCTCTTTTTCCTCTTGAATTTTGTGGATCTTTTCCACCAAAATTCTATAAATTCTTCTTATCTCTAGAAGACCATTTCCCTTTCGATATCTTATTCTTCTCATTGAAACGAGCTTGCAAAGTCACTTCCGCTTTTGCCATATCGTTTCCTCTTTCATCCATCCTTTGTTCATGAGATTCTAATGAACTTTGTAGTTCATCCTTCGTCATGGTCTTGAGATCCTTCGATTCTTCAATCGCAACAACAATGTTGTCGAATCTTGCCGTTAAAGAACGCAACACCTTTGACATAATATTTTCCTCCGAAACCGACTCACCGCAAGTCTTCATTTGATTCACCAAACGTGTCACACGCGTTATGTAATCGTTGACCGTTTCCTTCTCTTCCATTTGGAGTAAGTTAAACTGCCTCTTGTGAGTTTGTAACCTCACCACCTTCGCTTTGTCAACTCCCTCATATGCCTTCTCGAGTATATCCCAAGCTTTCTTCGCCGAGTCACAATCACCAACCTTTTCGAAGTTGTCTTCATCGATGCAAGAATGTATCAAGAAGAGAGCCTTGTA